ATCCTTAACCCTTTACAATTTTAATATTTTTGTTCCGGAATTGTCACTTTTACTTTTCTTTTAGTTGTTTAGTCCTAATCGAGAAAAAGTGATAGTTATCCTTACACCTTTCTCCTGTTATTATCTAAGTGCACCTGCATCATTCTGTGGTCTTCCAAGATTCTGGTTGACGTATCTACCAATCTATCTTCTTCTTCTTCTCATGTTCCTCTTTGTTCAGCTGATGGGATAGATGGGTGCCTTAGATGGAGAATAATTGGGGCTTTTACTGACAATATGCCATGGGAAATTTGCTTAGGACTTTTTCTGACAATATGCTATGGGAAAGGCTTACAAGTCTATGCGGCAACACTTGCTGCAGCATGACTGAATTTTGCCTTAAACAATGGAGAGAAGAACCATGCCTTTTTTCTTTTCTATTTCTGTTTCCTCGTTGCATTGTTAAGCACAGCTTGCCCTGCTTGATTAATCTCTTCAACAAGTCTAGTATTAAGTATGGCGGCCCTTTTAGTTTGATGGAGAGAAGAACCTGTCATTAGCAATCAATTTCAACGAAATCTTTTGGTTTCTTGTTTTTACCATGTTCAACTCCATACATTCCTTTATGAATAAAGTCACATTGAATGCATAGACATGCTTGGTCTTAAAATTTTTTGTTTGCACGATAATGATATGATTGCTTCTCGCATCATCTTTGACTGATCGCGGACATAATCCTGGGTGTGAAGGATAATAAAGGGTTTTCCTTTTACCTTATGTTCTTTTGGTCTAATGTGACTTAGAATAAAGGATATGTAAAACGGATGTGAAGCATTCGTTTTCAAACGATACTACTTCATTCAGCTGCAATTGTGTTGGCGACAAAATAATCCTAGGAACCCGAGGGTCTTAGCTAAATTTTTCCTCTTCATCTTATGTTTTCAAGATGGTTTCAGCATCCATGTTTAAGCCTTTTTCATGGCTCCTAGATTTTAATCAGTTGTACATTATTTCAGGTACTGCATGCAATTCAAGTTGCAGAACAGGTTGAAAAGCCTCCTGTTGCAGATATTTTTACAGATGTATATGATGCTCCCCCGTCCAATCTCCATGAGCAAGAGACAACACTCGTAGAGGCGATCGAAAAACACCCTAAGGAATATCCTCCAAACTTTTCATGTTAGGTCAACTTTAGTGATTCATTCAACAGGGCACTAATCTTTCAATTTCAAATTCATCTCATGATGATTTCAAACTGCTTTTGGTAAATAAATCTTCTTGTTTGTTATGATAGGTTCTTGGTTATGTGTGAGTCACGTGATTTACTTGGCCAATTCATCTTAACTTCTGTATGAATCATCCCCCATGCTTTTCAAGTTTCGTCAACATGATAAAACCAACCAACAAATCCAAATTGAATATGATTTCTGGTACTTTTCCCTGTCAGATTGAATGAACATGCTATATATGGTTCCAATGAGCAATATTTGAATTGTGGGTGAGGCTTGAGGCTTGCTCTATCCCAACTCTCTTCCCTCATTGGGACTGCAAACAAATTGAGTCACCTGCGTCAAAACTCGACTCGAGTTCAATTAATACGGAGCTCGAACCGGTCAAATCGAACTCGAACTTGAGTTGGAGTTCAAAAGTATTAAACTCGTTCGCTTGCGAGTTCAAGTGTATGTATGTATATATATATACTAGGCATTCGCGGCTGTCGCGGGGTGCCCATACTATGTAAAAGTCTCTGGAAATTTTGCAGATCATGAATATGAAAGCAAAAAGCATGTGCCTTTTTTATATATAGATGATCGCTATTCAATAGGCAAAGAGATAACAAACATGGTATGCAAAATCAAATAGAACAAAGCAGAATAGACTGGGCAGTAAGCAAAGGAGAAGCAATTAAGCGAAGAAAGGATTGCTTTACCTGAATAATAAACGGCTAATAGGATCGCGGAAAACTTGGGTGCACTAAATGAACTGGTATGATCATGGAAAAGGCACACACAGTGAGCGTGAGCAAAATTTGATAGCATGCGGTGGCATCGTAGAGGAATTGCTATTAATTTTGCTAAACAGACGCAAAAACTTTAAATTAATAATTGAGAAGGTAAAAAATATTTATTTGATAAACAGGAAATTTAAATTTGTGTCCATATGTATACATATATATAAACATTTATTAGGTACAAACAAAATTTAAATTTGTGTCGATATATATACATATATATAAATTTCTGGAAATAAATATTATTGTCAATATATATATATTTGGCTAAAAACCAGTTATATATAAAAAAACACAGAATTAATCACCACTTTGCCAATATTAAAACGCAAAAGCTTTAAATCAATAGTATTAGATACACACACAATTTGTCCTGATGTGTACCTTTTTTAAAAAAAAAAATCCATATTTTTGTTGACATGTATATTTGGTTCATAATTGATTTATATTTTATATTTCTTAGATATGGAGATATTTTATTTTGCGATTTATATTTATTAGATATAGACATGTTAGAAAATAAAACACGATCATAATAGCAAAAGGAAACAATTAACTTGTAACTGGAGCGCGAGGGGAAGCTTTAAACTAATATAATTCAGTATATATTAATATTAAAACCAAATTTGTGGCAGTCACATATTGCGAGCAAAAGACACCTGGAGCTTTATGGGCACATATTGGGAGCAGAAGACATAGTATTCTATATTGGAACACGTGTAGAGATTTGTAATATAATTTTTGTAATATAGTATGGATTTGTCATATTTTGTATTATTTTGAATGATTATGATTTTGATATGTTTTTCTATTGGTAGAGTAAGTAATTGTTTTGCAATTTTTTTGGTATTTTTATTGTTTACGGTATATATATGTTTTGTCTAATTGTGATTTGATTATTGGTTCTAATTAATTTTATGCTAGCGAAAGTTGCGAGAAACTTGTAAAGAGTAATTTGGCAGCCAAAGTTGGTGATTTGTTTGCCTATCATTTTTTTTTTTTTGGCTATATATGGATGGATATAGTAGCTATGGATGGACACAGTAGCATTTTTTTTGTTTCTGAAATCCAAACACAATGAACCAACATAATACCAATGTTTTAAAAATCGGACCGTTAATTGAACCGGTGAAGTAAAAGGGTCGAGGTTCAACCGGTCAGACCGGTTCAACTTCGGTTCAATGAATTTTTAAAAAAATAGTTTATATAAATATATATATATGTACAAAATAAGACATGTAATGGATAATTTAATACTTTATATGATGAAAAGTTTACTATTTTCGAATAATTTGGATTTTTAAAAATAAATTTTTAAAATTATAAGTTAAAACAAATAAATTTCATGTCAATTTCAATTATATCTACTAAAAAAATCTTAAATCCAATTCAAAAATATCACAATATTTTAAAATTATACAAAATTCACGTTTATGAGAATTTAGACATTGTGAACTTAAATTTTAATTTACGTTTTGGAATTTAGATATTGCAATTTAAAAAAGAAAGTTTGGAATTCGAAGGAAGTTTAGAGAATCGAAAATAGAAATGCAAATTTGATAAGAAATAAAAAATGAGATAAAAGTGAGTGGTTGTGGCATTAAATAATTTGGGTTAAAGAAAAATAATTCTTTTTTAACTTTTTTAATTTAATGGACAAAAACAAAATTAAAAGATGGAAGAAAACATCAATAAATTAAAAATAAAGAGGTTTGATTAAAAAAGAGTGACAAAAGAAAAGATGATGGAGAGAGAGAGAGAGAGAGTTGAAAATTTAAAAAAAAAAAAAGAGTCATGAGAGGATGAGATTTTGTAAGAAAAATGGAACAAAAGAAATATGAGTATTTGTTTTATATAAATAAGTTATCAAAAAAAACTAATAAGATGTGATGATGCAATGGTTACTACATTGGTCTTCTATTACAAAGATCTTGAGTTCGAATCTTGATATCTTGAGTTCAAATCCGGTTCGGCGGTTTTCGCGGTTCAACCGATTTTTGACCGGTTTTTTGCCAAAGTCAACCCTAGCATTGAACCGGATCGGTACCATGACCGGTTCGCGGTTCAACTGGTCGAACCGGCCAGTCCGGTCCGATTTTCAAAACACTGCATAATACGGCAGACCATAAAAAATTTCGCAAAAACCGTGAGAGGTCCAAGAAATCTGGGCAGGCAACGGGCCAACCGCTACTTGCAATAAAAAGACGGAAAAGGCCAAAATCTGCAGAGAAACAACAACGAAACCAGTGTAAAAGGGTAAAATTGGAATAAGGCGACCAAAATTTAGAACCTGTAGCCGACAAGCATGAAACAGAGATGACCCCACAATGACTTCCATCACACCTACAAAGACAAATGAAGACAAAATCAACGCTCAAATTACAAAATAACCAGCGGAATCACTGTAGCAAGGCCTTCCGCGCCTTATGTAGTTAGAGATATATATATATTTTTAATAGTAAAATTATATATATATATTTTTAATATTTTATTATTTATTTAAAAAAATATTTTTTACAATATATAGTCCAAAATTCGGCTCGATTCTAATCGTTTGCAGCCCTTATCCCTCACCCCCCCACCCCCTCCCCCCGGCCTCATCTCAAACTCCCCTCTGGTACTGGTAAAGTCCTACTAGCTAGATAAATATGGAATGCACAAAAAAGTGGACAAAGGAAGGATTGGGATCGAAATCTCTGAGTCACTCCAATAGTTAAGGTAGAAATTGTTTTACATATCCTAACAAGTATAAAAAGGGGAGTTGGCTGATATCTCATAAGAAGTGATGGTCCCGTATGGGCACCATCAGTAGGTGGTTAATTATGGAATTTCACTTTGATGTTTGGGTGTTAGACAGATACGATGGTGTTGTTAGCTTGCGTGGAAGCAATTGGGAGTTTCTGAAGTTGCATGTCTTGCATGTCTCTGTTAAAAACAGTGCGAACGTCCACTAACGAAGCTTCAAGGTGCAAATCTGTTCTAGACATTTGTCGGTTCATATATATAAAGTGCAAAATTGTTCACTTTTGCAGTCTTCTTGCTTTGTTCTTTTGTCGGAGCTTTGAAGTTACTGGTGAGTTCCTTCTTATTCATTTTTGTCACGATTCCATCTCTTTTGTTGCATGCATGAAGTTTTGGCAGTTCATATATACATATATAAGTACAAAATTGTTCTGTTTTGTAGTTTTCTTGCTCATTTCTGTTGTCGCAGCTTTCAATAAAATGACTTGTTCAAAAGTGCAGAAACAGAAAACCATTCTAAGTCTGCAAATAAGTTCAAGTATATACATATTGTATTCTGGAAGTTTGATTTCTATGTGGTCTGGAAGTTTGATTCCTATAAAATGACTTGCTCATCTCTCGTTTCTATGTTTTTCTATCTCTGTCTCGAATTGCAGCTAGCTGTTTAAGTCTGCTGCTGGTGCGAATTGTTCAAGGATCATTATCAATGGCTGATCGGTTAGATTTGCTTTGTTATCTGAGTTCTTGTGTTTGATGTATTAAAGCTTTTGGCTCATATCTTTGGTTGGGATCAGTTTTGATTATTTCTACCTGTATGCTTATTTGTATGAATAATTTTACATTTTCTTAGACTAGAGCTAAGTAAATTTCCTGCATAAGTATATTTATGATTATCGTTTAACAAATAAACAATGCCACCAAAAAGAAAATATGCTACTCTTCAAGAACGATACCAGGAAAGAAATAGGAGACGGCGAGAGCGTCGTGCTATTGATAGGTCAGAAGCAATTGGGAATTCTAGCAGAGGCACTTGCACTATAGCAATTATTACTCCTCAGAAATTTATTTGGATTTTCTCTGATTATTTTACAAGCATCACTAATCGATAAATACTCTTCCATTCTTTATAGCCACAAATTTTTTTTTTTTTTTTATGACTTTCATCTGGGCAACATCATGCATCGCATGATGCCCCAACAAACTAGTATAAAGAGAGTAGGTAGTAGTAAATGAAAAGGGTGGGTGAGTAAAGATTTCTTCTTACCACTTATGGTACCAAGATGGGGTATTTATAAATGCAATGAGGTGACAGATGCCTGAATTATTTGGATTTGCCATTAATGAACAGCTCCAATTCTGCTATCTTCAAGATTCTCATGCCATTTTTTTTAAAGCAGGGTGGCTATATATAGTCATCGTGGTTCAGTGGTAAGAAAGACAACAAATCTGGAGATTTGGATGGCACCAAACTCTCATTGACTTGTGAGTTCGACTGTTGGCAAGGCCTAATGCTGCTAAGGGAGATGTAACTTAGCAGCTTTCCTTTTGACTTTACCATTGCAAGAAAAATCTCACCAAATAATAATCTACATCTTGTAAGACATCTTATGCTACATGCACAGCCAGGAAATAGTGAATACTGTAAGGTTTAAAAAACAGTTCCTTGTAATGTCTTGTGGGCATGAGAAGATAAAGATGCACCAGTTTCAACTTATAACAGCCTCTAAGTTGGTGATTCATGATACATTCAGTTACAAGGAAGATTTTATGGAAGATAAATGCACAAAAAAAAATCACAAGGAAGAAGCTTTCTCCTTTAGAGATTCTTGGACAGCATTCAACAAAGTTGGCATTAACTTCTGATTTGTAACAATTATTCCAGTGTCTAGATCTAGATATCTTCCCCTAGAAAAGTCCAGAGGCTTTCCTGCAGCATCTGTGACAACACCTCCAGCTTCTGCACAGCATATTTGACAAAAATGGTCAGTAATGCAATAGAGCTCAAATTTTTTTCAATCATTTGTTCCCAAATTACAATTACTAGATTTCTCAAGCATGAGAAATACAATGCAATAGGGTGATCTACCAAGTGAACCATGCAAGCGTAATGATTGCCTGATGTACAGCCTCATATAGAACAGTGATGTTATCCACAAAACCAGCAAGAGGATAATACAAAAGAACTCTAAGCACATCCTCAAGAAGGTCAACAATGTAAGCTACTTGCAATATTTCCAGCTGGTTTTACATATGTTTATGTTTGGATTTCACACCTTAATCATTCAAGGTCCTTTTAGGATGTACTCATGCTATCAGTATGCATTGATGTGCAATCAGATTATCTGTTAAAATCAAACTATTTCTATGTTTTCACTAGAACAACTTTATAGTGTAGATATCCAACAGGTTAATTCAGCTAATGGACTTGATCAAAAAGTAAAGGAATCTACAAATGATCAATTCAAAAGTTCAATAATGTTTCTGACCGATCAATTTTTAATTTATTTTTACATGGTAGGAGAGAGGACAATACCAGTAGTCTATATTTTGTTGATTTTCTTTTTGATGGTGCTTATCATTGCATAAGAATATACATACTTGTCTATTTTGAGACACCCTCTTGGTAATCTTATTGAGATTATTACCTTCTTAGGGGGAAAGAACATAGTTTACACATCAACCACGAAGTCACTTTAATTGGGAAGGAGGGAAAAAATTATTTTTTATTCTATTCCCACCTTTCCAGGTGGATGATCAGATCCCTAAGATGTAGCATGATGACCCCTTCCAAGACAAACAAAAACTAAGCCTGGGATTACGACAGACTACAATCTGAAATAATGCATAGGTGAAACATATGCATAGATGAAACATGGGCAAAGATCTGACAAAAAATAGGACTTAATTGAAATGCCTCAGCGCTGTGAGGTGAAGCAACTATGAAAGGTGCATGCTTTGTATGCTAAGATTCAAGGTGCATGGGGTTTGAGGCATATGACTCTTAAATTTCCAAGTTGATTTTATTACTATTTATCTTCTTGATAACAATTGGCTTACCTTAAAGTAGTTAAATGCAAAAAACAGTGTACAGCATGTATCATGCATTTAACCCTTCTAGTTAAACAAAGACGCAAGACAGAACAATCAACTTCCTGTCTGGATCCAGATCAGCTGACATTCAAGGTTCTCTCCAGCTATCTATCTTCAATTCACCCTCCCCACCTCAAAAATCGCTTTTCTCCATCTAGATCAACTAAAATTGAATTCTCTCTCAAATGTAAAATCTTCTCTCTTCTCTCTCCATCTCTCCCATATTTTCCTCATTCTTATCCACCCTAGACATGTCAAGTATCCCATTCTCTCCCATTTCGTTCTTTTTATGCAAATGACAAAAAATTGCTAGCTTATGCAGATATTTCAAGAGCTGTGACTCTAGGAAATTGGATCACGAATGGTCTAGACATTGACATCTTTTGCAACAAGTGCCTTTGATAACTGTCATCCGGTTTCTTCTTCTCAATAAATTTATCTTTGGTTCATGGTATGTCCTTGCTTCAACTAATTGTCTTCATTTCCAATATCTAAAAGCATATTCATTGGATTCAAATTAAAGTTTTGAAATTTGCAAAAGGATAGTGTTCACAGGGGACAATATTCAATCAAATTTCTTTTTTGCAAGACAAGTGCTAAAATTGAATTTGAGTAGAATGAGCATAGCAGGGCTGCAATGAGGTGAAATTGAATTAAGCCATCAAAAAAAGAATCTAAACAAAAGAAACAAAACACTTACAGAATCTTTATAGATAAATCCATATTATATGCTTTGCAGAACTGTTTTCACAAAATCCCAATGTTCTTCAACATCAATGATTATTTTGAACTAAAAGACAACTCACTTTATGTCATACAAGTTTCCGTAGGTGGTGGTAGTGAATAATGACATTGAATCATGATATAATGCTTCACCCTAGTTGATAGTAAATAAATGAAAAATAAAATAAAACAGATTCCAGACCTGTAACAACTACACTTCCAGCGGCATGGTCCCAGATCTTTTCACGGTATCCCCTGTGGGGGAAACGCATATAAATTGCCCCATCTCCTCTGGACAAAGCTCCATACTTTGCCTGGCTATCTATTCGCACTGGTGGGGCTTTAACACCCAATTTCTGTATATAACAGTGATTAAAAGTTTTACTGCATCAAAATAGATGTCAAAGAAACAGATGGTATAAAAACAGATAGTGGTAGGAGAATAAAGAAAGTCATTTTGTACCTTTGCTATCAAGCTTGTTAAGTCATGCATTGAATGAGCTGCTTCATAAGATTCAAAGAATGATGCTTCTTCAGGATTTTCAGTAGAACTGACATGCACCTGAAAGAAAAAACAAATCTGAATCAAATTTGATATAAACATGAAGAAAGCAAAGTCAAGAACAATCACACAGTGTTTCTCTGTATTTGTGTGAAAAGGAGTATACCTTTCTAGGTTCTGAGCCATCAAGAGACTGCATGTAGGTTCCTGTACCAACTTGGGCAAAGAAAAGACAACCAGCTTTGCCTTGGATGGTGTGCTGATCATGGCAGGCAAGAGATTGTAAAGGAAGATTTGGACAAGCTAGAACACCCAATACAACTTTCCCTTCATCTAGCAATCCTAATGCAATAGCATACTGGTCTCCCCTTAGGAACCTTCAGCAAGGAAAGGCAGACATTAGAAGTATCTAGGGAAAGTAACCCACATGCAGTTCTTAGGATTCACGTAACACTAGAATAATTAGAATTGACGTGATGGTGTTAATCCCAGTTTCTTTAGTCATTGAACTTTACCTCTCAACAGAAAAATAAGAACAGTAGAGGGTGTACGCTTAATGAGTCTTAAAGCATATAGTCAGGCACATAATTATTTCGGAAAATTTCTCAAGTAATATAAACATAACTGTGCACATATGCCAGAGGGTGGGTGAGTGGGTGGGTGTTGGGGGGGGGGGGAAGAGAGAGAGAGAGAGAGAATCTGTAAGCAAGCATCTAAATTGAGTTGCAATAGAACTTCACTAGTCTTCTGTTTGTTTCAGAGGTTATCAGCAATAATCCATTGACCCCTCCAGGTTTATCAATTATCATCCCATGGGATTTGTTAGCTCTGAAAATAACAGGAGATATGGTAGTAGCTTCTCATACTGTATTCCCAATCTATTCTACACTCAAAACCAACCATGAGAAGCCTCTGAATCCTATTCTGGACATAACACCAGCTGATCTAAGTATTTCTAACAACCCATCAACATGACATCAGAAAAAATGAGTTCCTTGACTATCAAACAAAAGCATATTTGCATTTCTAAAAGGCATATATTGAAAATTTGCTGGAAAAAAAAAAGGTTTCCAGATGACTTTTAAGGCCAGGTATCATTGTCTTAGAAATCAGATAGAAAACCTTTCATGCAATCATCAAGCACATTTCTGACATTTCAACGTGTCAGGATTTGTGCCACTCAACACATCTTCAGATATCAGAATAGGTATGACAGCATAATGATGAACCAAAATTACCTCAATCAGACAACTTTCTTTTATAAAAGCTAAACCCCCTTGTATAAAAGAGTTACCAGATTATCGTAATCAACAAAATTAGCAGATAATACACTAGGGCCCGGAACACAAGTAACATACAGCCCTAGAAAGCATTTATTTGCATCTTGTTGCAAGAGATTACGGGATGACAAGATTTGTTATCTGGTTAGCTGGTAGCACTATATCAAAGGTTGCTAGTGCAGACTTTTCGAGAAGTAGGTGAGTTTAACATAAGTGGAACATATTATTTGGTGCCATTAAGTTGCCTAAGATATGCCACTCAATCAGATTAGAATAGGCATCC